GCTTGCTTTAGCCCATAGATTGATTTCTTGAGTCGGCAAACTCTGCCGGACCCATCATCAAAACCAGGTGGCTGCCTCATGTAAAGCTCCTCCTTCAAGACCCCATGAAGATAGGCGGTGGTCACATCCATGTGATGGATGTGAGACCCCAAGGATGCTGCCATCCCAAGGGAACCTCTCAGGGTGGTAGGTTTACCCACCGGGGTATATACCTGGTCATAGTGAACGCCTCGTGTTTGAGTGTTCCCCATGGCCACCAACCTGGACTTAGGCCTCTCAATACTCCCATCAGCCATGTGCTTATACTTCCACACCCACTGACACCTCAAGACCTCCATTCCAGGTGGCACACAAGCTGGATCAACCAGCTCAAAAGACTCGTTCACCCTATGAGACTCAAGCTCCTCACGCATGGACTCGACCCACTCAGGACGGGACAAGGCCTCCTTGACCGACTTAGGCTCATGCACCTGACCCATGAGACAGAAATCAAGCCCAAGCTCACCCCCCCTCAGCATCCACAAGCATGCACTCCTCCATATCATGCACCTCATGATCATGCATGAAAGCATACTGTGCACTTGGTGTGAACCTTTCGGGTGGCCGGGAGATGCGTGTGGTGCGGCGCAGAGGTGATGCCTCCCCCTGCTCCAAACTTTGCAGCTTCTCCTTCCAAGTCACTCTCTTCATGGGGGACCGTGGTGACTTGGACAGCTGCTGCTGCAGTATTTGCTGCCACCTACCCGCAGGAACAGGTGGTGTATGCTCCTGTGGTGGCTGCTGCGGCTTCTCTTGTTGTTGCTGCTGCCCTTGTGGCTGCTCCGGGTCATGGGCTGGTGCGTTAGGGTCAGGGGTAGAACCAGCAGTTGGTGACTCCTCATGGTGAGGTGCAGCTGCCTTTTGTTCCTCTTGCTGCTCCTCTACCTCCTCTCCAGGGTCCTCCCATGCCCCCTCAAAGATGGAAGAGGTGTAGGGATCCTGAAGGGAGTTCCCAACTGTACTAGCACCATGCTCTTTCCACCCCTTATAGCTCAGCCCCTCGTGGAAAACCACATCCCTGCTTTCCACCACCCGCTGATCCGCCACACTCCACAACATCCAAGCTTTACTCCTCTCCGACACCCCAAGAAAAATGCCCCATTGTGCCTTAGGATCCAGCTTCCTCCGTTGCTGGTCGGGCACTTTGTACTGCGCCATGCACCCCCACACTCGTGCCATGGACACACTAGGCACCTTCCTGGTCCACATGAAGTAAGGGCTCTTGCCCCCTAGCCCCTTGCTGCCCATTCTGTTCTTAACCCAGTTTGCATATTGCACTGCTGCCCCCCACCAAGTATGGTCCAGCTGCGCATGAGCAAGCATGGCTCGGGCAAGGTCAATGAGGGTCCGGTTTAGCCGCTCCGCTGCCCCATTTTGCTGCGGTGTGTAGGCGACTGAAAGCTGGTGGGTGATGCCCTTGTCTTCAAGGAAAGCCTCCAGGTCCTTCCCCATGTACTCCCCACCCCAATCAGACCTTAGTATCTTCACCTTCGCCCCAGCTTCCCTCTCCGCATAGCGTATCCAACGTTTGAAGACCTTGGCCACCTCATCCTTGGTTTTCACCAAGGTAACCCAACTTAGGCGGCTGAAGTCATCCAAGAAGGTGATGAAGTATTTGCTGCCCTTCTCCCTATCCGGTGTTTGCATGGGGCCACACACATCCGTGTGCACCAACTCAAGAGGTGCGGAGGCTCGAGTGGTGGAGGTAGGGAAAGAGGTCCTTAGCAGCTTCCCGGTCGTGCAATCAGGGCACTTGCTTGGCTGCCCACCACCCTCCTTGATCTCCACACCCTTCAGCTCCCCCTTCTTCACACACTCCACAAGTTGCTGCCTTCCTGCATGCCCCATGCGTAGTTGCAGCAAATCTGCCGTCACCTGCTCCACGTCCCTCCAACGGCTGCTACAAGTGGCTTCCTCGGCTTCAACTCCATGTGCCCTCTCCACCTGAGGCACACAAACTGGAACAAGGTATAGGCCCTTCTCTAATTTGGCCTCCATCACCACAGCTCCACCCTTGCGAACCGTGCCACCTTCCATGGTGAAGGTGCATATGTATTCTTGCCTCGCAAGTTGAGAGCATGAGAGAAGGTTGGCTGCCAAATCAAGAACATGAAGCACACCCTTCACATTCAACACCTCCCCCTCCTTCCCCATGACGGTGATGGTGCCGATGCCGATTGCTTGCAGCGTATCTCCGCTCCCCACAATCACATTTCTGGAGTTAGGTGGGAGGGAGTGATAAGTGGTGAAGAGGTCGCGCCGAGGTACCATTCCACAGGTTGCTCCAGAGTCTAGAATGAGCTGATTGGGGTCATCCAACGTACGACCAGGAAGCGCCGTCTCCTTCTCTAAGGATAAGAAGGAGAAGCCATCATCCGATACGTCCTCCTTTCCCTTCTTATCCTCGTTTGCCGCCGCTGCTGCCGCTTTCTCTTTGCTGCCCTTCTTGTTCCATGCTCCGTTCTTCATCCTCCTCTCCACCCACTCAGGCCTAGTGACAGGTGGAGCCTCTCCTGGGTACCCTTGAGGCTTCCACCCATCTGGTCGACTCCAGCACTCCTTCCAAGAGTGCTTCCGGTTGCATCCAGGGATGAGGCACTTGTCGAGCTCCTTCTTCTTCCCCCCACCTCCGTGCCGCTGCTGGTATTTCTTGGAGGCAACCCTATCACCTGCCCCCATTCCCCCTTCAACTCCTCTACCAGCATTACGCTTGCGAGCCTCATCAGAAACCAACACCTCCCATATCCAGGCCTTGGTCCATTTCTGCTGCTCTAGGTGAAGGTATTGTAGTAGAGCCTCGTTTGCTTCTTGGTCCAGCCCCTGGAGTGCGGTGTAGATGATCTCCTTCTCATCTACTTCATAGTTCAGCTCCTCCAATGCCCTCACATACTCATCCACCCTCTGGAGGTACTGCACCATGGTCTCCCCATCGCCATAATTGCGTTCCATGGTGTAGAACCGCTTCCTCCAGGTGAGTATGCTTAACAACCCTTTTTGCAAATGTCGATCTTGAACTCTCTTCCATGCTAGTGCAGCTGCTCCTTGCTTGCCCTTCAGGTCAATCAGCATCTTTAGGAGCTCTAGTTGGCCTTCCAAGGCCCAACACAGGTACTGGAACGCTTGCTTGTCCTTGCGGTCCCATGCTTCTTGTGCCTTAAGAAGCTCCTCTGTACTAAGCCGTTGCCTTCCGGTTCGTGGTGCTGCTGGTCCACCTCCACTTCCCTCAGTTATGGATGAGCTAGAGGCTCCCCCAGCCCCTTCTCCCACTTGGCTAGAGACTCCAGTAGATGTCTTTCCTTCATCAGCTTCAGGTCTTCGCTCCGATCCCTCCAAAACGCCTTCTAGGTCTTTGATACCTAGCCAAAGCGTAAACTGGAACCGCCATAGCGAAAAATCCGAGCCGGTGAACCTAGGAGGGCCATCTTATTTCTGGGCCATAACCAACCCTAGATCTGGAGATTCTTAAGCCAATTCGTAATATGATAATAGGAGGGAATGTCGCAGGCCTAACCAGCTCTGATACCACTTATGGAAAGCGCGTGAATCTGGAGAGCGTACAAGAGATTAAGTCCGCCGACTTCGACGGAACATTACGTGCAGCTCACGTAACCTTAAACTATGAGCAGGTACGCGTTGGAATGGTCTTAATCTCTACTTTCCATAATAGTAACGCACGCTTTCAACCAAGATCTAGGCCGATCGCTATCGCGATTTAAGTGCGACGGTGTATTCTGGCGGAATTAGTAGGCAGCCATGGATTATACCAAAAGACTAGCTTTAGCAAGAGTTCAGATCTGAAAAGTGACGAGTTGTTCAAACCCTACCAACCCAACCCTCGCCCTACAACAATCCCCAACAACCCAAAGTGCTAAACTAGCAACACCAAAGGTGTTGTAGTGAATAGCAAAGGTTTGTTGGTGCTTGTTGGGTGAGAAATCAATACCAGCCCGCAACAAGTCTAACCACCACATTTTGCCCAAACCCTTAGGGCGTATTCCTATCCTCCTATCAAGAAAACCTCCTATCAAGCTCTCACTGGAAAATTCCCTAAACCCAAAATCTCTCGCTACTTTTACCAGGCACAAGGTACAATCTTGATAGGAGGTTTCTTGATAGGAGGCCGTAGGAATACGCCCTTAGCCCACAACCAGCTAGAGCAAAATACCACAACCACCTACACAATCAACATTGAAATCTCATTCAAATCGAAATGTGTGGAGGGTTCTGCTTCAGAATCGCGCGAGGGCGATTCTTTGCCGGCGCACAAGGGCAAGGAAGGACACGTCACTTTCGCATAGGAATGTGTCATGCTCGCCCCAGCCCAGTGTACGAACCAATAGCTTGCAGTCGCTCGTTTGCATCGCACAGGCTTGTCCCAGTGTACGACCAATGGCCTGCAGTCGCTCGCTCGCAACGCACAGACAACAGTTGTTCCCGAGCCCCCTGTCACCTCAACTTCGCGCCGTTGCGCTTTTCCTGAGCGAGCCCGCCCTCGAGGGAGTCGAACAGAGTAGAAGTGGATGTGGACTCGCTGCAAAACGGGAAGTTGTTACTGTTTTAATCCGGTTATTTTATAATATGTTTATACATGCGCTTATAATATATCAGGGTTATATAAGGGGTGCGCCTATAATTGAGGATCGGCCATGAGCGCATTGCTCCAGATATAAGCGCATGCGCTTAACATAGGCCTGCGCTTATATCCGGGGTGATACGGTACATCATTGCATGCAACATGAAAAATTCTATAATACCAGTAACAAACAACATCTTAAAAAAGTTTCAGCTGCTTCTTGTAGGTCGACTTGAGATATGCTTGGTTGATTTGATTAGATCAGGAGAATTTGACAAAAAGTCAATGGTGTCCTTCATCCCCACAATGAACGTGTCAATCTCCTCCTTTGTGTTGTACACATACGCGCTCGCCGCGCACTCGCGCTTTGAGTCGACTCAAAACTAGATCAGGAGAAGTTGACAAAGAAGTCAATAGTGTCCTTGAGGCCGACAATGAACGCATCAATCTCCTCCTTTGTGTTGTACACATACGCGCTCGCCCTCGCACTCGCATTGATGCCCAGCTGCTGGTGAATGGGCTGTGCGCAGTGGTGCCCGCTGCGGATGCCCACTCCGTGCTGGAAGGGTGGAGGTTGGGGAAAACGAGAGGGAGAGGGAAACGGGGAGAGGAGGGTGGGAGAAGGCTCGGGGAAGCATGAATGGGCTGCGCACAGTGGTGCCCGCTGCGGATGCCCACTCCGTGCTGAAACGGCGGAGTTTGGGGAGCAGAGAGGGAGAGGGGAAAGGGGAGACGAGGGTGGGGGAGGCATGAATCTGCTGCGCACAGTGGTGCCCACCGCAAGTAGCCGCTCTATGTTGAAAATGGCAACAATTGGAAATGAGAGAAGGCAACGGGAGAGCGGAGAGGGGGGAAAGGAAGGGGGAGGACAGAGGGGGAGAGGGGGGGGGGAAGGGGGGCAGTGGGGAGGAGGGGCTACACATGCCATGCCTACACCTGTTGATCCAGGAAGGTGGCACGTCGGTGGCATGCATGCCATCCACACTGAATGTGTGGAGAGCAGCCGACCGCCCCTCTGGAGGGGGGCTTAGGGCATGGTATGGTATGGTATGGCATGGTATGGTATGGTGTACCTGTTGATCGAGGAAGGAGGAGACATCGGTGGCATGCATGCCATCCACGCTGAATGTGCACAACGCCGCCACCCGCCCCCTTTGGATGGCAGTCGGACCTCCCGGGAGCAGAGACGGTGGAGGAGGGCCGTAGATGCGCACTCGATCAACGGCTGAGAGCTGCTTGTAGAGGTACTCTGATAGATGCATCTGGAATAGGAAGGGTAGGACGGGAGGGAGGGGCAGTGGTAGAGTTGGAAGAAAGCATGCAACAGCAACATGCTAATCAAGGTGCCAATCGGAAGACTAGAGGTTACGGAAGCGACATAGCCCACATGCATACTATACGGTCTGAAATCCATGACATCTATATCCAAAGATCCCCATGGCAAACCCCTCCTTCACATCACATCAAGATCTAGAGACATTCATCCATGCATCATGCCCATGCACGAATACCCCACAGATGTGCACACATTGCTACACATGTTCATTCATACAAAGCATTTGTGAACTGACGAATGGCCCAAGCATACCTCATATGCATGCACGTTATCCATGCCCTTAGCTGTCAGATAGTCCACTGCTGCTCCCAACCCTATGGCCTCCGCAATGGCTGGCGTGCCAGCTTCGAACCTGGAGAGCAAGAGAGGGGAGGGCAGGGAGGATAAGATGTGCGAGTTAAAACACTGGTCACATGTTAACTATATGGCATTAGCAATGGCTGCACCCCCAGCTTCGAATATGGGAGGGGGGGAAGGGAGGATGCGTTACCTGTAAAACCAGTCACAATCACCCCTGTGGCATCTCCAATGACTGGAATGGCATATTTGTAGCTAGGAAAGCGAGAGAGAGAGGGGAAGTACTGGGAGAATGGGGCAGCGGCGAGGGCAGTAAGTGGGGAAGTAACGACCAGAGGTGGGGAGCAGCTAGAGAGGATGAGAGATGCGGTGGCAGGTCCTGTTTTTGAGGCGCCTCAACAACAGACAGGAAGGGCGTACCTTGCAGGGGGATCGGAGTAGGTGGAATGGTCCAAAAAGACGTCCTGAATCATCTCGCCTCCTCCTGACGACAAAAGAATCACAGAAACGATCGGGCCAGTCGAATTGATTGGAGAGAGAAAGGTAAGAATGGGCCGAAGGGGGGTTAGTAGAAGGGAGGTGAAAGGTGAGACGAAAGAGACAGATAGGGGTCAGGTAGGGATCTGCAGCAAGTCCAGCCCCTGATTTATGTAGCCCAATAAGTAAGGGATGTTCATCTCTTTGTAAAGCTATCCAAATGTGGTCAGCTGAGTGGAACCTAACCCCTGCACGCTCATGTCATGAAGGGACGCGGATACCCTTGAGGGCACGTGCCTACCCATAAAGGGCGGCATGGAGGCGAGCACTTCGGATCGACCGTAAAGGAAGCCAATGCCCGTGGGCCCAGCCATCTTGTGCGAGGAGACCGCTGCAAAGAATGAGACGCCTCATAAGGGCACAGTCTTACCCGTGAAGGGAGGCATGGAGGCGAGCACGTCGGATCGGCCATAGAGGAAGCCGATGCCCGTGGGCCCACACATCTTGTGGGAAGAGGCATGGTAACGGCATGCCACACACGCTTACCCATGAAGGGAGGCATGGAGGCGAGCACGTCGGCGCGGCTGTAGAGAAAGCCAATGCCCGTGGGCCCAGCCATCTTGTGCGAGGAGACCGCTGCGAAGTCCACCCCCAGCTGCTGCACGCGCTTACCCATGAGGACACACACTTACCCATGAAGGGCGGCATGGAGGCGAGCACATCGGATCGGCCATAGAGGAAGCCAATGCCCGTGGGCCCAGCCATCTTGTGCGAGGAGACCGCTGCGAAGTCCACCCCCAGCTGCTGCACGTCCACGGGCATGTGCGGCACCGACTGGCACGCGTCTAGAAGCACCTTGGCGCCCACTGCATGCGCCCTTTCTCTGATCTGCTCCACTGGGGACTCCGAGCCTGAAGGATGGGGGTAAGAAAAGGGAGGGTGGGTGGGTAAGAGGCAACAAAGAAGTCACACTCTCCAGCTGCTGCACGTCCACGGGCATGTGTGGCACAGACTGGCACGCGTCTAGCAGCACCCAAATGTGAAAGGTGAGCCCCCAACTGCTAACTCAGTGAGTGACTCACTCCGCATGTTTGGTATGACACATGATATGCCACATGGTATGCCACATCGTGCGACACAGGGTGCGCTTGGCTTGGCACCCATTGAAACCACGATTCACCCAGCACGTTGGACACATGGTGCACGGCCCCTCCTTCTCAAATGACTTTTGAGTCGACTCAAAACTCACCCAGCACGTTGGAAACATGGTGCACGGCCACGAGCTTGGTGCGCGCGCCAATCATCTCCAGCAGCCGCTCATAGTCCACCTCCGCGCCCGCCGCATGCCCCTCCCTCTCCGCCTCCTCCGGCACTTTCAGGGGCGCAAACTTCAAAACCGCCCCGGTTTTCTGGGCTACAATCTGCCAGGGGACGATGTTGCTGTGGTGCTCCGCGACTGTGAGGAGCACTTCGTCGCCCGGGGAGAGGTTGGAGAGCCCCCACGAGTACGCCACGAGGTTGATTGCCTCGCTGGCGTTGCGCGTGAACACGATCTCCGACGGGCCCTGCGCTGTGTTGATGAACCGCGCTACTTTCTCGCGTGCCTTCTCGTACTCCTCTGTGGCCAGCATGCTGCGGGGAGGGGTGGGTGTGGGAGGAGGGGGAGAAGTGAGCGCGAAGTACAAGTAGAGGCGATCCTGGAAGGGCCCTGGCCCAACCTTCTCCCGTTGCTTCCCATACTCCTTTTGCTAACATGCTGTGAAAAGAAAAGGGTGGGTATGGAGGGCGAGGGGAGTGGGGATCGCAAAAGGGCCCTGGGACGGCAGGGTTGACGAAGCGAGCGAGCTGCTTCCTCCCACGCCTTCACACACTCCTCTGTGGCATGCATGCTCGGACAGAGGGAGAAGAAGGGAGGAGACGAGAACGTGAGGTGCTGAAGAAGGAGGAGAAGGGGTAAGAAACGAAGGTGAGTGAAGTGGGGAAAACGAGAATGTTTGGTTTTACAAACAGAGCTCGTTGTCTCCCCGGCCCACGGAGAGTGGGGGAACAAAAACATTAAGAGGGTGCTGATCGTTGATGCATGGGTGTCACGGCTCACCTCAGGTAGTGCACTGCACGTTGCAATACACATTATCATCGTATCATTGGTAGGTAGTAGTAGCCAGCACATCCGTGACGTTAATCGCTTGCATGCTTACATGGGTTACAGGCCACGCACTCAATGTCAAATACACCATGTACGCTCACCCGGGACAGTGTACACTTCAAGGCTCCTCGGCTTTGTGTCGTTTGCTCCATTCACCATGGTGCTGTTGATTGCACGCATGCATATACGCGTTACAAGCCCACCTGAGATAGTGCACACCGCGGTGCACATTGGCATTGTAGCGCCGGTAGTAGTCATCCATGGCGTTGATCACTTGCAGTGGCTTCTGCGAAGTTGCTGCACTGTCTAGATACACCAATGGCTGGCCGCCTGGCACCTCCTGATGCATTGAAAGAAGACAAGTGAGTGGAATAACGACGACATTGTACAATTCAGTTATATAAAGCCTCGGCAACCTCTTATCAACCGCATGGATGCCCGCTCCACTGATTCACATAGAATACTGATTCTGAAGTAAAACTATGTGTTCTCGTGGACTGTAAACAGACACGGGCAAGTGTTGTCCAGTCGTCTCACAATTCAGGATGTAAGACGTTCAAAATTACCTGATGCAAAATCGGGAAGTCTTCGCGAATCGCCTTCCCTAGCCCCGTCGCATCCGCCGTCGACGCACTCGCATCCGTTGTTTCACGCGCTGACACCGACGCCTCGACGGCCCTTCGCTCAACGGCTCTTTGCAACCCGTTAGGGCTGCAACCGCTGCCGCCGCTAACGGCGAGGCGCCTCAAGCCATTGAATGAAATTAGGTTGGGTGAGAAGGAGGTTCGGAATGCCTTAGCTGCTGAGGCTACTGGTCTTGCTGGTGTCATTGCTGACGTGGCATGTTGAAGAGGTAGACGAGCAGAAGGAGAACTGATGAGAGCCATGCTAGGAAGACGAGCGATGGTGGATAAGTAGCGCGTGAGATGATACACAGGAACGGTATTGGAAAAAGGAGAATTGGCAGTCGATACGCTTATTCTGGGGCCAGGACAATCCTCGTAGCCTGCAAAGCAGAGTGGCGTGGATCGGACGCAAACAAGGCGAAGTGGCAGAAGCGAGATAGAAATCAGCCCAGTTCCGTGTTTCAGAAAGTGGCAAATGCGAGTGTGTGTGTGAATGAATTTGCGTGTGTACATGTATACGCTTTGCCGGAGGAGGTAGAAAGAGGCGAATGGAAGAGCTGGAGCAGGCGAATCAGGTCAGCGCATGGCTGTGAGTGAGTGGCCGCCTCGATTCCTCCTCCACCTGACATGCACTCACCAACGCTGACGTGGCAGAGGAAGGGCCTTCGACCAAGTTCAAGGAACCATGCTTTTGATCGGAAGTGGATAGTCTGGTAAAGTAAACTTCGTTACGGTATGTGACAGATTTTCGAATAGAAAAATTAAAAGGTATGCGCTTATACCAGTGGATATCATAGAGGCCACATACCAGGGCCCAAAATATCAGGGTAAAATACCCTTTTTGCCATTTCTGTAGGCCGCTTTTTTCAGTTACCCTGATGAAGGCAGGCTAACTGTATAGTTACCCTTTCTTCAAATTAGTGGTTTTTTTACCCTTTCAAAACAGTATAGTAGTTTTCTTTCCCTGATTAAGAAGTGTAATATATGGGATTCAGCAGTAGCGATCCGAAGAAACCCGTGTATGCCCAATAGACATCCCGCACGCATAAAAATTCGAACCTATAACCTTCTCATTCGGAAGAGATCTAACAACTGATTATGTCATTTACTAACGTTTCATGTGGTACAAGAAACAATTATGGAATTTTTCTTTAATTCAGTCAGGGTACTTTTTTTTTTAGCCTGTATCTGTCAGCGTATCAGAAATTTTACCCTAGGCCATCAGGGTGGGACAGGCTGAGACCGAGATTAGGCAGGGTGGCCTAAAACCAATTTTGGGCCCTGCCACATACGGCCTGCTCCTATACCTGGGGTCTCATGGTATGCCACATTGTTCTACAAGTACTGGTGGGTGCCTCAGTGCAGGCGTCAATTGATAATACCGGTACGCATTGTCAGGGAGCAAAAGAGGAGGGGACGCTTGCAAAGCACAATACATGAATGTGGTAAGATGGTTACTGTTGTAACATAGTCTGGTACTGCGTTATCAAGTGTGATAGAAACATAGCAGCCCGACGGTCTCAATATACTTAGCTTCAAGCATAAACTCAAGCTTAAAGCCCAAGACCTGAATTACTCAACGGAAGTCAACGCTAAAAACTAGGTTCGGGAGGCAGGCACGGAGAGGTTCGGTTGGGTTGCGAGAGATTTTCACTCGCGAAACCAATTTGCGACAAAAGTTTCTCGCTTCCCATGATGGTTGGTGCCCTTCCCACAACCAGAAAAGCGCGAGCTTATCAAACTGTGCACAGTTTGGGATAGCACGCAGAGTATTAGGCATAGACCATACCTGTAGACAGGCCAGGGCGTCGGCGTTCACTCAAAAGGGAGTAGATGCGCCATATGATTTGGGTGGCGCGGATTTGCAATGATGACGCGCAAAGCTAGTTTGCGCTGGGTGATGATTATTGTGTCGAAATGCAGGTTATTGTGCAACTACTCCGAAGCGTAAACTCGTGGCGAAAATCGAATCGCAACCGTTCGCCCAAACGTGACCCTCCCCTCGCCCTCGCTTTCCTTTCCCACGCTTTCGCTCTCTTTCGCCCGCGTCATCGCCATCGCTTCCGCAGCTCGTCGCGTGCCCGTCGCCTTTGCTCCGCCCGTCGCCTTCACTTCTCCCCCGTCGCCTTCACTTCTCCCCCGTCGCCTTCACTCCCCCCCTCTTCCGTTGCCTTCATTTCCCCCTCCCGTCGCCTTCACTTCCCCCTCCCGTCGCCTTCACTTCCCCCTCCCGTCGCCTTCAATTCCCCCTCCCGTCGCCTTCATTTCCCCCTCCCGTCGCCTTCATTTCCCCCTCCCGTCGCCTTCATTTCCCCCTCCCGTCGCCTTCATTTCCCCCTCCCGTCGCCTTCACTTCCCCCTCCCGTCGCCTTCACTTCCCCCTCCCGTCGCCTTCACTTCCCCCTCCCGTCACACTCGCTTCCCCACCCGTCACCTTCACTTCCCCTCCCATTGCCTTTCACTCTCTCCTGCTCAATCTCTTTCCCCCTGCTCACTCTCTTCCCCCTTGCTCACTCTCTTTCCCCCTGCTCACTCTCTTCCCCCCTGCTCACTCTCTTCCCCCCTGCTCACTCGCTTCCCCCCTCCTCAATCTCTTCCCCCCTGCTCACTCTCTTCCCACTCTCTTCCCCCCTGCTCACTCTCTTCCCCCTTGCTCACTCTCTTCCCCCCTGCTCACTCTCTTCCCCCGTGCCCACTCGCTTCCCCCCTCCTCAATCTCTTTCCCCCTGCTCACTCGCTTCCCCCCTCCTCATTCTCTTTCCCTCTGCTCACTCCCCTTGTTCTAACCCCACTTTCCCCATTTCTCACCCATTTCCCCCCTTCACGCTCTCTTACCCCCTCTGCTCGCCCCTGTTTTCCCAACTCACGCCTATACTCACTCTCCCCCCCCCTGCTCACTCTCTTCCCCCCCTGCTCACTCTCTTTCCCCTTGCTCACTCTCTTTCCCCCCTTCTCACTCTCTTTCCCCCTTCACGCTCTCTTTCCCTCCCTTCCGCCCGTTGCCCCCCTTCGTCTCGCGCTCGTCCCCTCGCAATCCCCGTCTCTCTCTCCCCCCGTCGCCCTCGTTTTCCCCGTTGCCCTCCCTTCCACTCCTCGTTGCCCTCGCCATCCCTCCCTTCTCCCTTCCCATCTCGCACACTTGTCACGCCCCCTTTCCAACCCGCACATACACCCTTCCCTTCTTCCCTGTTTCCTCGTATCCCCTGCGCTGCTTCCCCCCATCCTCCGACTTGCTCCCCCCATCCCCTTCCCTGCTTCCCCCCAACCCCTTCCCTGCTCCCCCCCATCCCCTTCCCTGCTTTCCCCCTTCCCCTTCCCTGCTCCCCCCCGTCCCCTTCCCTCCTTCCCCCGTCCCCCTCCCAGCATCCCCCCATCCGCTTCCCTGCTCACCCCCATCCCCTTCCCTGCTCCCCCCCATCCCCTTCCCTGCTTCCCCCTATCTCCTTCCTTGCTTCCCCCTATCGCCTTCCCTGCTCACCCTTGCTCCCTCTGTTTCACCCTTTCTCCCTCCCCTTCTTCTCTGCTCACTCTCTTCCCCCTTGCTCACTCTCTTTACTTCTGCTCACTCTGTTCCCCCCTGCTTCCTCTCTTCCCCTCTGTTCAATCTGTCCCCCGCTGCTTCTTCTCTTCCCCTCTGCTCATTCCGTTTACTGTCTTTCCCCCTTCACTCACCCCCATACCCCCCAATGCAGTTACAGGTGCTCAGCACCAGATGTGGCTTTACCACGGCCTGGTTTATTGCTTGCAGTGTAGCAGACAAAACCGGAAAACAACATTACACATACACCCCCTAGCTTTGTTCCCTTCTCGAGTCTGGTGATTCCCCTTACTTTACAGATACGGTAATATATTAATTGTTGAACTCCTTGGTATTGGTCATGTGTATGATTGCTCTGAGGCTCATAATCCTGTATTATAAAAAAAGAATCCAATATATGGCATGGCTATACGTGTGTTACTATCAGACAGCTAGCACATGCACAACCAGATGCAGAGCAGACCTATCCAAACTCAAATCAAGAAGTCAGATGTGACGTGGCTGAAGTATAAGGGAATGACAACTGGCAAATGAGGAAGGGAGAAACGGAGGAAGGGAGGAAGTGAGGAATGCAGGAATGAAGGAAGGGAGGAAGTGATGATGGGAGGAAGGGAGGTAGGGAGGACGCTTGGGGGAGAAGCAGAAGGGAGGGGAGGAAGAGAGGCTGGGGAGGAGGGTGGGGAGGAGGGTGGGGAGGAGGGTGGGGAGGAGGGTGGGGAGGAGGGTGAGGAGGAGGGTGGGGAGGAGGGTGGGGAGGAGGGTGGGGAGGAGGGTGGGGAGGAGGGTGGGGAAGAGGGTGGGGAGGAGGGTGGGGAGGAGGGTGGGGAGGAGGCTGGGGAGGAGGGTGGGGAGGAGGCTGGGGAGGAGGCTGGGGTGGGGCGGAATGGGGTGGGCCAGAAAGGGGTGAGGCGGAATGGAGTGGGGCAGAAAGGGGTGGGGCGGAATGGGGTGGGGCGGGGCGGAATGGGGTGAGGCGGATTGGGGAGATGAGGGATGGGGAGATGAGGGATGAGGAGATGAGGGATGGGGAGGTGTGGGATGGGGAGGAGAGGGCTGGGGAGGAGAGGGATGGGGAGGTGAGGGATGAGGAGGTGAGGGATGGGGAGATGAGGGAAGGGGAGATGAGGAATGGGGAGATGAGGAATGGGGAGATGAGGGAAGGGGTAATGAATGAACGTGTATGCGACGGAAGGGTGCTGCTGACCACGCACCCTCCCACACCCCACGCGATGGGAAGGGATGAGAGGGTGGGCGGCATGGGTAGAGAAGCGATGGTGAATAGGGGGAACGTGATGGGCAGGGGAGTGATGACGACGTGGAGAGAGGAGAGAAGGGAGGTCGGCGGGAAGGCTAAGCGAGGACGATGGGAGGGCAAGCGTGGGCGACAGTGGCGGTGGGCGACGGTGGCGGTGGGCGACGGTGGGGAGAAGCGTGGGCGACGGTGGGGGGAAGCGTGGGCGACAGTGGGGGGAAGCGTGGGCGATGGTGGGGGGAAGCGTGGGCGACGGTGGGGGGAAGCGTGGGTGACGGTGGGGGGAAGCGTGGGCTACGGTGGGGGGAAGCGGGGGCGACGGTGGGGGGAAGCGTGGGCGACGGTGGAGGGAAGCGTGGGCGACGGTGGGGGGAAGCGTGGGTGACGGTGGGGGGAAGCGTGGACGACGGTGGGGGGAAGCGTGGGCGACGGTGGGGAAAGCGTGGGTGACGGTGCTCCGAAGCGTGGGCGACGGTGGGAGGAATCGTGGGCGATGAGAGGGGAAACGTGAGGGAAGGTGGGGAAAGGCGTGAGCGACGGTGTGGGGGAAGGCCGGAGGAAGCGTGAGCGGCGATAAGGGGAAGCGTGAGCGACGGTGGGGGAAAGCTTGGGCGACGGTGGGAAGAGTGGGCGTGTGCGTGGGGAGGTGTGTGAGACAGTGGGGAGAAGCGTGGGGGACGCGGAAGGCGATAGGTCCAAATGCGATGTTTGGGAAAGAGCTAGGAATAAAAGTGAAAATGCTCATGGCCTATGCTGTAGTGGCGTTTTATTCTATCTCTTCGCATACTCTAATCGCTTCGCGTACTATGGAAATCACACGACCTGAATTACCGAAGAAGGCAAACTGTGCACATTTTGAGCCCTTGTTCCTTCAGGAGGGTGTGGTTGGGACTCTCGCCAACCAAACCTGTTCTGCTCTACGACTCTGTGTTTCTTGGCGCAATGTTTTCTGGTAACCAGCCTGGCTCGGGAGGTCAACTGTGGGTTCGGTAGGCAAACTGTGCACAGTTTGCCTTCCTTTTTTTGTAATTCAGGTCTTGGGCTTTAAGCAAAAGCTGAACCTGAAGCTGAAGCACAAGCACAAACTAAAGCTCCAGCTCAATCTTAAAATCAAGCCCAAGCTCAAGCTCAATCATTATTCACAAACCATGTTCAAAAGCATATGCCAGTTAGTACCAACCCATGTCAGAGAATGCATTCTTCCCATCTCAGCCACTCCTGAGCGCTACTCTAGAGCAAGGAAAACCTCACGAAGGCATGGAAACGTGTCACTGATCTGTGGGATCTGGAACTCTGGAGTATACGCGAGCGACGGGTACAGCCACTCTGAGATGGCGGCTGTGAAGTCTGCGGGAGTTGGTGAGAGGAGCGCCTCCCAGTCAACCTGCACTCACAGGACGGGAGGGGCACGTGAAGGGACAGCAGGTAAGCAAGCGCTGGACTGGCACCCCACTTGTGCCTCTCTTGCTTTCACATACGCCAGTGTTGTCTCTCAACCCTTATGCCTCTCTTGCCCACTTGCACACTGATTCTCCCCCCCATTCGCATCCTCTTTGAGTCTCTTCGATCGTCAATCACCCCCACAACAGCACAATCAACTCGCCCACCACCAACATCCCTGGCTATCCACATGCCCTCTGCTCACCTGCACACCCCATGGCAACCCACATGCCCTCTGCTCACCTGCACACCCCATAGCAACCCACATGCCCTCTGCTCACCTGCACACCCCATGGCAACCCACATGCCCTCTGCTCACCTGCACACCCCATGGCAACCCACATGCCCTCTGCTCACCTGCACACCCCATGGCAACCCACATGCCCTCTGCTCACCTGCACACCCCATGGCAACCCACATGCCCTCTGCTCACCTGCACACCCCATGGCAACCCACATGCCCTCTGCTCACCTGCACACCCCATGGCAACCCACATGCCCTCTGCTCACCTGCACACCCCATGGCAACCCACATGCCCTCTGCTCACCTGCACACCCCATGGCAACCCACATGCCCTCTGCTCACCTGCACACCCCATGGCAACCCACATGCCCTCTGCTCACCTGCACACCCCATGGCAACCCACATGCCCTCTGCTCACCTGCACGCCCGGAGGGATGGCGGTGGTGACTTGCAGGTCCATGGACAGTAGCATAGCGAGCGTTACCACGTAACCCGTGCCTGATGTACCTCGCGACAAGGGCTGGAAGTTGTACCTGGCGTAGTGAAGTGTGGTGTGGTGTGGTGTGGTATGGTTTCAGTGAAATTAAGATTTGGGAGGTTTGGGTGAGTGCAGAAGCACAGGTTGAACATACACACAGTAATGTAAACAGCCCTGAAAACAAAACGGTGTATGTGTTTCTGTGATGTGATGTGCAGATGCGCCTGTGCATATAGTGGTCTGAAGTTGGTCGTGAATAGGGGACAGGGGAGAAGGAGCAGGGACCCAGTAGTGAGGTGACTTTTGAGTCGAGGTGACTTTTGAGTCGACTCAAAAGTCACCTCGTGAATAGGGGACAGGGGAGAAGGAGCAGGGACCCAGTAGTCAGCCCCAGCAGTAATAGGCAACAGTAACTTCATGCTTCACATGAGCATAGCAGCAGTGGGCCATGCGATGATGCTCTACCATACCCTCCAGCAGCAGCACATACCAGTAGTAGGCAGTATTGGAATGCTGCACTTGAACATACCAGTAGTCACCCCAACAGTAATAGGCAACACTAACTCCATGCTTCACATGAGCATACCAGCAGTAGGCCATGCGACGATGCTCTACCATACCCTCCAGTAGCAGCACATACCAGTAGCAGCACATACCAGTAGCAGCACATACCAGTAGCAGCACATACCAGTAGCAGCACATACCAGTAGCAGCACATACCAGTAGCAGCACATACCAGTAGCAGCACATACCAGAAGCAGCACATACCAGTAGCAGCACATACCAGTAGCAGCACATACCAGTAGCAGCACATACCAGTAGCAGCACATACCAGTAGCAGCACATACCAGTAGCAGCACATACCAGTAATAGGCCATTCTGAGTACGCTGTCCTGAACTGCCTTGCGGTAGGCCGGGAAGTCAGAGTCGCGGAGAGACGTGTTCACCACTGCCAGGCGGATGGCCTGATGGGAGAGATAGGCGAAGAGTAGATGGTATGTGAGAGAGCTTTCAAAAGTCCCACCAATTGCGGAGATGCATTCGCCACTGCGATGCAGATGGCCTGATGGGAGAGGGCCGGTTGGACACGGGGCGTGAGGGGAGCAGAGCGTCAGAGCGGGCGTGAGGGAAGCAGGGCAGTAGAGAGGGATGGGAGCGCAGCGTGAGGGATGTAAGAGCAGTGAAGTGAGGTGGGAGAAGGAGATGGGATCGGGGAGAATGAGGAGATTCAGACAAGCATGAATGAGCGCGCATGCGGTGATGAGTCTGTATGAGCACTTGCTCGCACTCACCTGCCATGCAGCGTCCATCTCCCTCTCATACTCCCTCCACCGCTCCGGCTTGAGCATGAGCTCGATCGCTAGCTCGGGCTCGGGTGGGCTGGCGAGGAAGAAGGACGGAGTCTGTGTGTGTGTGAGCACTTGCTCTCACTCACCTGCCGATTTTTGAGGCGCCTCAAAAATGCTGTGGTGAGTATATATGTGTGAGCACTTGCTCTCACGGTCTCACCTGCCACACCGCATCCATCTCACTCTCATACTCCCTCCACCGCTCCGGCTTGAGCATGAGCTCGATTGCTAGATCGGGCTCGGGTGGGCTGGCGAGGAAGAAGGACGGAGTATGTGTGTGTGAGGAGCACTTGCTCTCACTCACCTGCCGATTTTTGAGGCGCCTCAAAAATGCTGTGGTGAGTTTCTATGTGTGAGCACTTGCTCTCACGGTCTCACCTGCCATGCGGCGTCCATCTCACTCTCATACTCCCTCCACCGCGCCGGCTTGAGCATGAGCTCGATTGCTAGCTCGGGCTCAGGTGGGCTGGCGAGGAGGAAGGGCGGAGTATGTGTGTGTGAGGAGCACTTGCTCTCACGGTCTCACCTGCCATGCAGCGTCCATCTCCCTCTCATACTCCCTCCACCGCTCCGGCTTGAGCATGAGCTCGATTGCTAGCTCGGGCTCGGGCGAGCTGCAGGGGACAGCGCGAGAAGAGGAGGAAGGGGGTTGGAGGGAGGGGAGGGGGGAGAGGAGATAGCGATGGGGCTTGAGCATGAGCTCGATTGCTAACTCAGGCTCGGGCGAGCTGCACGGGACAGGCGAGGAGGAAGGAGGTTGGCGGGAGTGGGAGGGGGAGTGGGGGAGACGAGGTTGGATTGGAGGATGGGGCTTTAGCATGAGCTTGATTGCTAGCTCGGGGTCAGTGACTTTTGGGTCGACCCAAAAGTCAGCTGCAGGGGACAGGCGAGGAGGAAGGAGGTTGGAGGGAGGGGTAGACGAGAAATGAGATAAGGAAAGGGGCTTGAGCATGTGTTTTGAGACGTCTCAAAACACTCCTTCAAACAAGGGGTAGACGAGAGATGAGATAAGGAAAGGGGCTTGAGCATGAGGTCTATTGCTAGCTCGGGCTCGGGCAAGCTGGCAAGGGGGAAGGAAGGAGGCACGGACAGGGAAAGGAAGAAAGGGGAGGGGTAGGAGGGGTAGGATTCTGAAGGAAATTGAGCATGGGCTTGGTGGCGAGCTGGGGGTTGGGGGAGGCGGAAAGGGATCTGGGGATGGAAGGAGGGAGGAGGTATGCTTGGGAGAGATTGTTGAGACGAGGGGAGGCGATGGTTGGGTAGGAGAGGGGAGTGAGTGATGTGAGGGAGGTGTGAGAGATGCGATGGTGCGAAAGAGGCTAGTATCGAGGCGTAAGGATCACGTCGAGCTTACTCGGGATTAGGAAACACTGATATTCGTGTGCCTTCAATAAGCTTCCTGCACACATAACACACATATTCATGGAAGTACAAACAAAGAAGCATTCAAACATACCCACACGGGAGAATGTTAACCATCACATGGGCATGCTTAAACGGGCCCGCAAGCAGAAATACACACACCACACCAGAGGCAAACAGAGACCCAAACCTGTGCAACGGAGAGGGCTTTAAAGCAACTCAAACGCTGCACGTGCTAAAAGGCAAGGCACTACGAAACTCCAGCAGGGATCATGGCTGCAAGCACGGAGGTAAGTGCGCACCCGGGCTGTGCGGAGCTGGGGATGAGCAACGGCGTGTAGAAGGAGGGTTGGCCGACTGCCGCGGCTAGCTGCGTGTGGGTGCTGGCCTTGCGCGCCTGGTGTGGGATGGGATGGATGGGACGCGGTGCAAGCACGGAGGTCAGTGCGCACCCGGGCTGTGCGGAGCTGGGGATGAGCAACGGCGTGTAGAAGGAGGGTTGGCCGACTGCCGCGGCTAGCTGCGTGTGGGTGCTGGCCTTGCGCGCCTGGTGTGGGATGGGATGGATGGGACGCGGTGAGGTGAAGGTCAGTGCATACCCGGGCTGTGCGGAGCTGGGGATGAGCGTGTGGGTGCTGGCCTTGCGCGCCTGGTGTGGGATGGGATGGATGGGACGCGGTGCAAGCACGGAGGTCAGTGCGCACCCGGGCTGTGCGGAGCTGGGGATGAGCAGCGGTGTGTAGAAGGAGGGTTGGCTGACTGCCGCGGCTAGCTGCGTGTGGGTGCTGGCCTTGCGCGCCTGGTGTGGGATGGGATGGGATGAACGGGATGCGGTGAAGGGTGGGGTAAAATAGTTTGCTTGATAAACGTAAAGCAGGCATGAGCATACTTGAAGCTTCAAGAGTGCAGAGTGTCCTTGAGTCTGCCAGTGCTCACACACCTTTCTGAGCCCTGTCTTGGAGAGTGGAATCTCTACAAGCCCATCCTGCGCCTTCACCCAGTTATGATGAGATGTCTCAAGTTTTCAGTTGTGAGGCACCTCATGTTTTGAGCTGTGAGACGAGTCAAAACGCAGCCATGCTCACAGACCTCTCTGAGCACGGCCTTGGAGAGTGGAACCTCCACCAGCCCATCCTGCGTGATTGGAGTTGACTCGAATGAGTCGTGCTTTTGAGTTGACTTAAAACACGTCTGCAGTGCTGACGTACCTTTCTGAGCACGGCCTTGGAGAGTGGAACCTCCACAAGCCCATCCTGCGCCTTCACCACTCCTCTCTCCAGCAGCAGCTGCTTCAGAATCACAAACGCCCTGATGCACGCACAGGCACACACAGACACTCACGCATATGCATTTACAGATGATAAATAAGCTCTTGACATCAGAGCGTTCGGGATTCTGCAGCAGCTGCTGCACATGTGCAACTCCATCAGTCACTCCCTGTAGTCACACCTACATCCCTTAGACATATATGCTGGATGTCTCAAAAAACAGACACAGCCGTTACACAGTCCTGCGTGCATGCCACCCAAAGGCATATACGCTGATTTTGAAACACTGATTTCTTAGGAGATGTTAGCCTGCTGTACCTGTCCGCGTATGCGCCATAATTTTGAGGCGCCTCAAGACACGTTAGCCCACTGTACCTGTCGGCGTATGCGCCGTATTTGAAGTTAAGCGATTGGCCGTATGAGATGGGGGTGCTGGAGATGACCCCCTTGTTGAACCCACTCTCCCTGCCACTCACCCACCGCACCCCAGCACACCCACGGAGGACGTCACAGTCAAGAAGGACGTCACAGTCAAGAAGGACGTCACAGTCAAGAAGGACGTCACAGTCAAGAAGGACGTCACAGTCAAGAAGGACGTCACAGTCAAGAAGGACGTCACAGTCAAGAAGGATTGCACATTGGGAAAAAGCACTGGCTGAAGCCGAAGCAATCTGTTAGCGCACAATTCGAGAGGTTAATGTTTTCAAATGTTAGGTTGTTACTCTCTACATTGGGTCACCAGCACGAACATATGTTGGTTAGTTAATCAGCACATCACTCACGTGTATCGATCGGACCACATCACTTTATCCGTTGGTTCCGCTACCTGCCGCCACGTGGCAGCCATGGAGTACACGTCACGCCACGTCAGCGCCACGTCAGCGCCGCTGCTGGCACTGGCTGGGCGAGACGAGGAGGCGAGAAGGCGGGCCCACTCGTGCCTGAGTGCGTGCATGATGGCCAGCATGGCTAGCCCTGCTGCCCTTTGCTGTGTGCATTGCATTTGGTGCAATGGGGATACAATGAGATGATTGGTGTGATTGCAGAGGGGAGTGGGAGAGTGTCTGAATGGGACCCACTCGTGCCTGAGGGCCTGCCTGAGGGCCTGCATGATGGCCAGCATGGCTAGCCCTGCTGCCCTTTGCTGTGTGCAACACAAAGAGTAAGATGCTTGGGATGATTGGTATGATTGGCGAGGGGAGGAGAGAGGGTCTGAATGGGACCCAAGCCACGGGCCATGGGGTTCAGCTACGGGCGCTTTCAATCATTCAAGCGAGTGCACATGCACATGGACATGCGGCCAATCCACATGCACATGCACATGCCATAAGGACTGCTGAGTGGGTGCAAAAGCCCACCAAGAAGAGACCGGGTCCTCCTGGACCTCACTCCGTCTCATCCCTCACCTGCCGTCTGCTAGGCAGCCAGCCTAAAGCCCCCCACCCCTCACCTGCCGTCTGCTAGGCAGCCAGCCTAAAGCCCCCCACCCCTCACCTGCCGTCTGCTAGGCAGCCAGCCTAAAGCCCCCCACCCCTCACCTGCCGTCTGCTAGGCAGCCAGCCTAAAGCCCCCCACCCCTCACCTGCCGTCTGCTAGGCAGCCAGCCTAAAGCCCCCCACCCCTCACCTGCCGTCTGCTAGGCAGCCAGCCTAAAGCCCCCCACCCCTCACCTGCCGTCTGCTAGGCAGCCAGCCTAAAGCCCCCCACCCCTCACCTGCCGTCTGCTAGGCAGCCAGCCTAAAGCCCCCCACCCCCCACCTGCCGTCTGCTAGGCAGCCAGCCTAAAGCCCCCCACCCCTCACCTGCCGTCTGCTAGGCAGCCAGCCTAAAGCCCCCCACCCCTCACCTGCCGTCTGCTAGGCAGCCAGCCTAAAGCCCCCCACCCCTCACCTGCCGTCTGCTAGGCAGCCAGCCTAAAGCCCCCCACCCCTCACCTGCCGCCCGTTATTGAGGAAGCCAGCACAGTGGTACTGAATCAGGCTGCCCAGCCGGTCCGCCCAATCAACAGCCTCCACGTGGGCAGCACCCAGCCTTGCCCCCTCGCCCTCCCCACTGCATGTGCTGCCGTTGCCCCGTCCTCCAGATGGCGGCAGAGCCATGGGCTCGTAGCCTGCCCGCAGCAGGGAATCTGGTGGATAGCGGTACGTCCAGCTCTCCTGGTGAGGGGATGGCGGAATCAGGAGTGGGGAGGGCAGTGAGGAGAGGACTTGGGAGACCGAGGCAATGACAGAAGGGCCTTGCGCTTGTAGCCTGCCTGGAGCAGCGCATCTCGTGGATAGCGGTATGCCCAGCTCTCCTGGTGGAGGGATGGTTGAGGAGAGAGGGAACGGGAGTGGAGTGGGGAGGGGAACGGGGAGAGGAGTGGGGAGAGGAGTGGGAAGGGGAGTGGGAGGAGTGGGGAGAGGGGTGGGGGAGGAGTGGAGAGAGGAATGGGGAGAGGAGTGGGGAGATGCCATGAATTTGTCGCCTCTTCAGGTTTTGGCCAGTGTTGAGGCCTCAAAGAAATCGAGGGGAGGCAGTGGTGCCTAAAGAAAGCGAGTGAGTTGAATGAAATAGAGTCAAACTGAAGCTATTCTTGTTAGAGTCATCTTGAAGAGAGGAAGGAAGTGGTCGTCGATGCTGAATTGGTCCAAAGGCTGCTCCATGCATGCTGCGTGTAATGAGGTTATTCTTGAGACGTCTCAAAAACAACCTGAAGCTATTCTTGTTAGAGTCACCTTGAAGAGAGGAAGGAAGTGGTCGTCGATGCTGAATCGGTCCAAAGGCTGCTCCATGCATGTGGCCATGTAAATTGCCACCTCCCTCTGTGATTCATGTGATGTGATGCATGCATGCAGCATGCATGAGGTGCACGCAGGGAGACATGCAGGGAGACAGGGGCCAAGCTGAATTGGTCCAAAGGCTGCTCCATGCATGCTGCCATGTAGATTGCCACCTCCCTCTGTCATGTGATCCATGCAGGTGCACGCAGGGAGATATGGAGCATTGGTGCAGGCAGGGAGGCATGGCGCATGGGGTGCAGGGAGTTAGACATGGCGTATGGGGTGCAGGGAGTTGGACATGGCGTATGGGGTGCAGGGAGTTGGACATGGCGTATGGGGTGCAGGGAGTTAGACATGTACAAACCCATGCAGCAGGCATGAGTCAGCGGACATGCTCTCCTTGCTGCAGCAATCTCACAGAAAAAAAACCCTATCTCATTTGCTGGCTCCTCCCCATACAATCACACCTGGTAGAATGCCATGTCATGGCTCTGGCGCTCGCTGTAGTCACGTGGCTGCATCTTAAGCACGTGATTATACGCGTCAACCTGCCACCATCACCACAACCAGGCAGGTGCATTTGTCAAACTTGCTGAGGTGAGGGGATACACTAGGTTACCTTTGTAATTGAGGCGCCTAAAAAATGTGACTAAAGCCCAAAGGGAAGATCAACTGAGTAATACCGCTAAACCATGACCAAGCCTTGAGGCGACTGAATGGTGGCATGGCAGCCCTGCAACAAAGTAATGCTATGTCCGACGCCAGCCAGAGTCAAGGCTAGACTGGAAGAGCCTCAAGAGCAAGGTGACTTTTGAGTCGACTCAAAAGTCGTCTGAAAGGTGGCATGGCAGCCCAAGGCATGGCGTCTAAACCAACAAAGTAATGCTATGTCAGACGCCAGAGCAAAGGCTAGACTGGAAGAGTCGCAAAAGCAAGGTGACATTTTGAGAATTCTAAAAAAAAAAACACGCCAGAGTCAAGGCTAGACTGGAAGAGCCTCAAAAGCACCAGCCAGAGCGGATGCGGTTGGCTTGCATTCAACGTGCTGATCCGATCAACTACTCGACTCACAGTTGAGAATTCTCAAAAGGGATTTCAATATGACTTGGATTCAACTTGCTGATGCGATCAACTGCTCGACTCACAGCTTTGGGAAAGTCAGCCGAGGAGTGGTGCGATGATGCCAACCAATAGCGCAGCTCCACGTTAGTGGGGTGGTAGGGGAGGTACTTTGAGATCAGGCTGATTACCTCCCTGGCTTGCAGCACACAAGGAGAGACACCAAGAGAGAGAGGCGCAAAGAGAGAACCCTGTATACTGCCGCCTATATCAATGGACCGTTTGAGACACAAAGGGCGATACAAGAAACGATTGACACAATCCGCGGCAAAATCAGCAACGCAACCAGCAGTGCGAAAGTGGCATGGGCAGCACAACCAGCAACATGTTAGAAATAACTGCATGACACCTCGACGGCTCACAAGCACATGCCTCTTCTACCCATCTGAACCGCTCTGCACCCACCTGTGCCTGCCGGTGGATTGCAGCAGCTTCACCCACGAGTGCAGCGTGGGCATATCACTAAAGTACCATGCGTTGACGGGGGGGGGGGAGGGAGGGAAGGCGCATCGGTGCACAGCACACAAGGCGTTCATTCATGAAAGGGCGGGTGGAGAAGAAGTGACTGCTGGGAGGGAAGTTAATGGGTGGAGCAAAGAGGCTTTGCAAGGAGGTATGCAGCACATAGACTCCCCTCATTTGTGCTTCTGCCTGCCATTCAGTGAGCACATTCTCATATAACACCTCTCTGCCTTGTCCTCCTCCCATATCCCTCCGTACGTTTGCAGCACACGCCATGCCTCCAAGACTCCACCCATAGAACCTGAGCTTCTCGCATTCTCATAGCACCTCTCCGCTTCTCCCCTCTCCCCCACGCCCATCCGCCTGTTCCCCATCACACGCCTACATGCCTCCATCCATCTCACCTGGGGAACGCCTTGAGCGCATGCCCATAGCACCTCACCTGGGAAACGCCTTGAGCGCATGCCCATAGCACCTCACCTGGGGAACGCCTTGAGCGCATGCCCATAGCACCTCACCTGGGGAACGCCTTGAGCGCATGCCCATAGCACCTCACCTGGGGAACGCCTTGAGCGCATGCCCATAGCACCTCACCTGGGGAACGCCTTGAGCGCATGCCCATAGCACCTCACCTGGGGAACGCCTTGAGCGCATGCCCATAGCACCTCACCTGGGGAACGCCTTGAGCGCATGCCCATAGCACCTCACCTGGGGAACGCCTTGAGCGCATGCCCATAGCACCTCACCTGGGGAACGCCTTGAGCGCATGCCCATAGCACCTCACCTGGGGAACGCCTTGAGCGCATGCCCATAGCACCTCACCTGGGGAACGCCTTGAGCGCATGCCCATAGCACCTCACCTGGGGAACGCCTTGAGCGCATGCCCATAGCACCTCACCTGGGGAACTCTTTAAGCGCATGCTCATAGCACCTCTCCGCCTCCCCCACTTCCCCCATGTCCCTCCGCACGTCCCCCAGCACGCGCCACGCCTCCCCCCGCTGCGGCTCTGCTTGCACCACGGTCTGCAGCGCTGCTGCTGCCTCTGACCGGCGGCCCATGTGGTACAAGGCGTTGCCCTGAAGATTAGGTGGGAGGGGGATGATAACAGTTGAGAGAAGTGAGCACGCGCCACGCCCCCCCCCCGCTGCGGCTCTGCACGCACCACGGCCTGCAGCGCTGCTGCTGCCTCTGACCGCCGCCCCATGTAGTATAAGGCGTTGCCCTGGGGAAGAGCAGAGGGGAATGATAACAGTAGGGAGAGAAGTGAGCACGCGCCACGCCTCCCCCCGCTGCTGCTGCTTCGGACCATCGCCCCATGTGGTATAAGGCGTTGCCCTGAGGATTTGGCGGGAGGGGGGAGAGGGTTTGGTGGGAGGGTGCAAGGAAGGAGAGAAGAGTAAGTAAGTGGGTCACCATCCCCTACACCTTTTGTGGATCCGCACGCACCACCACCTGCGGCGTTGCCGCTGACTCTGACCGTCGCCCCATGTGGTACAATGTGTTGCCCTGAGGAAGCGGGGAAGCGAGAACGTGCAAGGGAGGAGAGAAGTGGTTAGGATCTCTCCCCCCTTTTCCCCGCTGTGGTTCCGCTTGCACCACAGCCTGCTACACCTCCCACTTACACCCCATGTGGGATAGCGTGTAGCCCTGGGGAAGCGGGGGCTTTAGGGGTGGATCAAAAGCTGCCTCCAACTGCATTCCCATGTGGATACTAGTGTGTTGCCCTTGGGCAGTGGGGTGGGGTGGGGTGGGGTGGGGTGGGATAAAACTCCCACCAACCAGTCAGGACTCAGCACTCCGCACAGAGCAGCAGGATGCTCCGCTCCATGCCATGCCACGCCACACCATGCCATGCTATGCCATGCCACGCCACGCCATGCTATGGGTCCTTGGGAGATGCAATAGCCTGCAATGCATGCCCTGCCTGCGATGCCATGCCATGCTATGCCATGCCATGCTATGCCATGCCATGCCATGGGTCCTTGGGAGATGTAATGTACCAGGAAGAGGCGGAGGGTGTGCTCGTGTGGAGAGTGGTGCAGTGCGGTGGTGAGGTCCGGAATGGCGTCCTTGAAAGCCCTGCTGTTCACACGAGCCATGCCTGCCACGTAGGGATGGGTGGGTGGGGGGTTGCATGGGATGGCATGGGTGGTGCATTGGATGGCATGGGTGGTGGTGGATGAGATGGGATGCATGAAATAAGATGGATGGGTGCATGGGACAGCGGGTGGATAAGATGGGTGCACACATACCGTGAAAGCACGGCATAAGTGCATTGCATGGCGTGTGTGAATGGTTCAGATACTGTCGGGATTTCTGTAAGCCAGCATGACATATGGTTCTGCTGTTTCAACGACTCACCTCTCTCACGAATGGCAGCGACATTGCTCGGGTCGGCAGCAATCATGGTAGTCCAGTCCGCTATAGCCTGCCACCGCACAGCACCATGGCATGGCATGGCGTGGCATGGCATGGGTTGCACACATGCATGGCACACAGCAGCATGGGATGGGTGGGATGGGTTGCACACACGCGTCGCACATAGCAGTACGCATCGGACACAGTGGAACTCACTGCCCTCACGACCACAGACTCCTTCTGACCTGCTAGGAGCTACACTGATGGGCGAGTGCAGCAAGGTGTGGCCGGCGTGATTACTAATTTATTACACCCACGAAGGGCTATTGGAAAGCTGAAGCGGCTGCAGAGTCAGATAATGTCCTGGCTGTGTTTGGCTGTGTTTGGCTGTGTTTGATACCAAATAGATTGGCTATGTACACCCTCCTGCTGCTGCCCTCTGCTGCTGTACAGTACAGTACAGCCCCTCTCTGCTCCTTCATCGTCGCATCCCCATGCACACCTGCTCTCCAACCCCTCTGCTCCCTTATGCACATCACAGCCCCACCCAGCCTGACCTCAGAGAACCGTTGCAGCCTGAGGTGAGAGACGGCGCGGTGCTGCAGCAGTTGCTGGTGGATGGGCAGATCCGATGGAATGATCTTCAAGGCCTGAAAAATGGCACGTCCAGCCCAAGAGCAGAGCAAGAAAGGCAAGCGGAGTTAAGTATGGATGGGCGAGGCTTGGCATGGTAAGAGGAGAGGAGCGGAGCGGTACAAGTGTTGCCTTTCTACAGTGATGCACCTTGGTGAGGTCGGTGTCGCACCTTGGTGAGGTCGGTGACGCACCTTGGTGAGGTCAGTGTCGCACCTTGGTGAGGTCAGTGTCGCACCTTGGTGAGGTCAGTGTCGCACCTTGGTGAGGTCAGAGTCGCACCTTGGTGAGGTCAGAGTCGCACCTTGGTGAGGTCAGTGTCGCACCTTGGTGAGGTCGGTGTCGCACCTTGGTGAGGTCGGTGACGCACCTTGGTGAGGTCAGTGTCGCACCTTGGTGAGGTCAGTGTCGCACCTTGGTGAGGTCAGTGTCGCACCTTGGTGAGGTCAGTGTCGCACCTTGGTGAGGTCAGTGTCGCACCTTGGTGAGGTCAGTGTCGCACCTTGGTGAGGTCAGAGTCGCACCTTGGTGAGGTCATTGTCGCACCTTGGTGAGGTCAGTGTCGCACCTTGGTGAGGTCAGTGATGTCAATATCCTAAGCAGTCACCTCGCTGCAGTCACATACCTTGGTGAGGTCAGTGATGTCAATATCCTAAGCAGTCACCTCGCTGCAGTCACATACCTTGGTGAGGTCAGTGATGGCCTGCGTGTGGCGGCCTGTGAGGGAGTTGGCCGCCCCCCTCCACGCCAGCAGCCCTGCAGACTCCTCCTCGCCCTGCTCCTCCAGCTGGTGGCATTGGAGGGGAGGACAGCAAGTCGGGGAGCAGGTGAGGGGAGGAAGTGAGGGGAGGAAGTGAGGGGAGGATATGAGGGGGCAGCAATGGCCCCTACATGCCAGCAGCCCTGCCAACTCCTCCTCTCCCTGCTCCTCCAGCTGGTGGGATTCAATGTACAGAGGAGGGGAGCGGCAGGGGGAAGGTGAGGAGGGCTACTTCAGAATATCGATGGATTCTTGCTGATGAAACTGTTAACTGTCAGCCACGCTAAAGTAAAGCTCGAGAAGAGAAATGTCAGGTTGAAAATACAAGACGGCATAGACAACTGAGGGTTAGAGATGCTGTTGAAGACTGCTGTAATGAGGATAACATGCACATGACTTGTGTGAAGACGGATCGAGAGACAAGACAGTGCGCAGGGAATGGAGGGAAGGGAAGGGAAGGGAAGGGAAGAGGAAGGGAAGGAAAAAGAAGGGAAGGGAACGGAAGGGAAAGGGAAGGGAGGGGGAGGGAAGGGAACGGGAAGGGAAGGGAAAGGGAACGGCAGGAATGGGAAATGGGAATGGAAAGGGAAGGAGAGGGAGGCGAAGTGGCAGGGAGGAAAGGAGAGGGGAGGGAAGGTAACCTGTGCAAATGCTTCAATTGCAGCCTCGTAGTTGCCTGCTTGCGCCTGACAGGAAGCACGAGGCAATGAATATGAGGGTCAAGGGAAACGCAGTGAAGTAAGGGAATCATCAAGCCGTGTGGAAGAGGAGTGCAGGGAAGCACACGCTTCAATTGCAGCCTCGTAGTTGCCTGCTTGAGCCTGACAGGACGCGTGAGGTAACGGAAATGAAGGACAAGGGAAACGCAGTGAAGCAAGGGAATTATCAAGCAGTGTGGAATAAGAGTGCAGGGAAGTGGAAATGCGGCAATGCTTTCGACCGTGTGTGTGACAGAATGCAGTTGACTTTTGAGTCGACTCAAAAGTCACCTCAATGCTTTCGACCGTGTGTGTGACAGAATGCAGTTGACTTTTGAGTCGACTCAAAAGTCACCTCAATGCTTTCGACCGTGTGTGTGACAGAATGCAGTTGACTTTTGAGTCGACTCAAAAGTCACCTCAATGCTTTCGACCGTGTGTGTGACAGAATGCAGTTGACTTTTGAGTCGACTCAAAAGTCACCTCAATGCTTTCGACCGTGTGTGTGACAGAATGCAGTTGACTTTTGAGTCGACTCAAAAGTCACCTCAATGCTTTCGACCGTGTGTGTGACAGAATGCAGTTGGAAAGCAACGATGAGGTTTGAGGAATTAGACATGAGATGAGATGAGGTGATTTTTGTGCACAAGGACGTGTAGCATAAACTGCTTAAACTTCTTAATGCCTGCAAGCAACCCCCTTTGAGAACTCCTATAAGTGACCCAGCTGTGTTGCTCACCGCCCCACTGCCACTCACCCCCCCACTGCCACTCACCCCCCCACTGCCACTCACCCCCCCACTGCCACTCACCCCCCCACTGCCACTCACCCCCCCACTGCCACTCACCCCCCCACTGCCACTCACCCCCCCACTGCCACTCACCCCCCCACTGCCACTCACCAACCCCACTGCCACTCACCAACCCCACTGCCACTCACCAACCCCACTGCCACTCACCAACCCCACTGCCACTCACCAACCCCACTGCCACTCACCAGCCCCACTGCTACTCACCCCCCCACTGCCACTCACCAGCCCCACTGCCACTCACCCCCCCACTGCCACTCACCAGCCCCACTGCCACTCACCCCCCCACTGCCACTCACCAGCCCCACTGCTGCTTCGAGAGTCACATCGCTGCCCCACCGCTTCTTTGGACGGGCACCAGCTCTCCCCTTGGCTGAATTCCGCCTGGACTCTGCAGCTGCCGCCATCTCTTGTTCTCCCTTCTCCTTTACCATCTTCTCTCTCTTGTGTCCCTTCTCCTTCTTCTCCCTCTCCTTCTTCTCCCTCTCCCTCTCCTTCTCCTTCTCCCTCTCTTTCTCCTTCTCCTTCTCCCTCTCCTTCTCCTTCTCCCTCTCTTTCTCCTTCTCCTTCTCCCTCTCCTTCTCCCTCTCCACGTCCTTCTCATTGTCCTTGATAGTAGATGTGCCCGCAGTGATTACCTTTACGTCCCCCTTGCCCTTTGCCTTGTTCTCATGCTCCTCCACACCACTCCCCTCTTCCTCTCGTTCCTCCCCTTTCTCCCTCCTCAGTCTCCTCTCCTCTCTCCGCCCCCTCCCTCTCCTCCCCCTCTTCTCCATCCCTTCCTCCACTGCTGTCTCACCACCTCGGTCTGCTGTCTCACCACCTCGGTCTCCTGCCCTATCGTCCTCATCTGACTCCCCTCCCCTCTCCCTATCACCGCCTGCCAACCCTCTCCCTTTGCCTCCTATCCCACCTCCCTCACTCTCAGCCTCCTCCTCTAGCTCCTGCGTCCCCTCTTTCCCCTCGGTTCTGGCTTCACTAACTCGCTCCTCCCCTTTCCCTTCGCTTGCTCTCTTCTCCTCTCGCAACCGCTCTTCCCTCTCCCTTCTTTCCTTCTCCCTCTGTGCCCTGCGTCCCCCTCTCCGTCCCCTCTTCCCACCCTCACTCTCCTCCCTCTCCCCAGACTCACTCTCCTCCCCACCCTTAGCCTTAACCTCAGCCACATTTCCTTCCAATTCCTTCTCACGCACCCCATCCATCTGCTTACTCCCACTGCTTGACCCTTCACTAAACTCGTCTCCTGACACCAAATCCCTTCCTTCCAACGCCCCTCCACGCCGTTGCTTTCCACCCCTGCTTCCTCGTCTTTCCTCCTCTCCCCCTTCCTCTCTCCCGTGCATTCCCCCCTCCTTTCCCCCCTCTTCACCCGCATCCTCTCCCCTCTCCTTTCCAATCTCCTCTCCCTCCTCCCCCACCGCAGCACTAAGCACTTCCACCACGTCACCCAGGGAAGGGAATGCATCTTCAACACTCAGAAGCTCCTTCAGGCGCGGCTCATGGTTGAGAGAAGGGTAGAGCCAGGAGGAGACGGAGCGGAGGAAGAGAGCGGCTGAGGGGCACAGGATGGACTCCCAGTCCACCTGCACAGTGGGGATGGAGAGTTAATGAGGCACTTATGCAGGGAAGGGAAGGAAGGACAAGCGGGGTGAGTTGTGGCAATTCTTCAAATCAAGCATGCATCTCAAACCCCAAAGCCCCTCTGTCTTACACGCACGCATGCATGCAGTCCACCTGCGGCTTCGGCATTTGAGTCGACTCAAAAGTCATCTCTGTCTTACACGCATGCATGCAGTCCAACCAGCTGCGGCTTCGGCACCCAAGTCGACCACTACCAGCCATCAAGGTTCAGTGCACCTGGACGGCAGGGGGAATGGGTTTGGAGGCGTGGAGGTCGATGGCGAGGAGCAGGCCGAGCGTGACGACATGGCCTGTCATGGCTGTGGCTATCGCACTGGACTGCAACTACCATTCATCAAGGCTCACAGCACCGCACCTGGACACTAGGGGGGATGGGCTGGGAGGCGTGCAGGTCGATGGCGAGGAGCACAGAGCGTGACGACATGGCCTGTCATGGCTGTGGCTTTGCAATCAAGTCGACTACTAGTACTACCAACCGTCAAGGTTCACTGCACCTGGACGTTAGGGGGGATGGGCTGGGAGGCGTGCAGGTCGATGGCGAGGAGCAGACCGAGCGTGATGACGTGGCCTGTCATGGCTGTGCCGCGTGCCAAGGGCATGAAGTTGTACCTGAGGGGGGGGTGGGAGTATGCGCGGAGAGGGAGAGAGTATTAGGTTAGGGAGCAGACCGAGCGTGATGACATGGCCCGTCATGGCCGTGCCGCGCGCCAATGGCATGAAGTTGTACCTGAGGGGGGTGGTGTGGGGGGTAGGGGGGGTATGGGGGCATGAGGACAGGACGGAGAGGGCTATGCGTGGAGAGCGAGAGAGGTTGGAGCAGACCGAGCATGACGACATGGCCTGTCATGGTCGTGCCGCGCGCCAAGGGCATGAAGTTGTACCTGAAGGGGGTGGGGGGGGGGGGGGTATGGGGACAGGGAGGAAGAGACGTAGGGGGGGTTGGGGGAGATAGGTAGAGGAGCAGGCCGAGAGCGATGACGTGGCCTGTCATAGCTGTGCCGCACACCAAGGGCATGAAGTTGTACTTGATGAGGGTTGGGGGTCCGAAGACAGGAAGGATGAGGGGGAGATAGGTAGAGGGAGAGAGGGGAGAGGAATCTGAGGGGATCGAGGGTGACGACATGGCCTGTCATGGCCTTGCCGCGCGCCAAGGGCATGAAGTTGTACCTGAGGGGGGTGGGGGGGGGGGTATGGGGGGTAAGGGGGGAGAGACGTATTGGAAGGACTCGGGGGAGAGTTATTGGGGGAGAGTGAGAGAGATTAGAGCAGGGTGTGGTGAGGTGAGGAGGATGACATGGCCATATCGGGCATGACGTTGCACCTTGAGGGTGATAACGGGTGATTGGGTGGATGGGTGGGTGGGTGGATGGATGGATGGAAGGAAAGACGGATGAATAGATGGATGGTTGGATGAATGGGTCGCCATACTAGTAATAGGCAGTACTGAACGCTTCACTTGAGCATACCAGTAGTATGCCATTCTGAGAATGCTGTCCTGCACGGCCTTGCGATAGGCGGGAAGGTCAGAGTCGCGGAGAGGCGTGTTCGCCACTGCCAGGCAGACGGCCTGATGGGAGAGGGCCGGTTGGACGCAGCAATAGAGGTGAGGGACACAGTGAACCGTGAAGGCCGCGAAATTGAGAGCAAGCAAGGTGTAAGGAACACAGAGTAAGGAAGCGAAGAGGACGGGATACACACGCTGATAGAATGGTTCAACACACGTAAGTACGAGAGAAAGCCATGGCTGGGCTGGGAGTAGGAGCGAACCTTCCAAGAAGCCGCCATCTCAGCATCAAACTCGTTCCACCTATGGGGCATGAGCACCGTTTCGATCAGAAACTCCACTCCGTACGGCCTGTGGGGGGATGCACGGCAAGTGGAAGGAGGAAGAGGCGAAGGGGGGGGGGGGAGGGGAAGAGGGGGAGAGTAGGGCTTCATCACGGCGCAAGTAACTCTTGATTTGACTTACAATGCATCAGCTTGATGGGAAGCTGGGCACCATAGGGCCTGAAAGGGGATACACACGGAGACACCGCAGTTTATAGTGGGGACACTTGGAGATGCCTCTGACTGAAAAGAACAAGCAGGAGGTGGGCCGTATTCTCTGGTGGCCTTGTATGAGGAAGGGAAGAGTGCGACTGAAAGAGGTGGGTAGAGCAGGTCAGAGGAAGCAGGAGCCTTTGAACAGAGGGCGGCGACACACCTGGTCAAGAGGGCGAGTCGAGTGCCGTTGAGTGTCTTGCTGCAGTCATGGGGGGAGAGGCGGGGATGGAGGCAGAGGCAGGCACGTGGGCAGAGAGGCAGGCATGTGGGCACAGAGGCAGGCATGTGGGCACAGAGGCAGGCATGTGGGCACAGAGGCAGGCATGTGGGCACAGAGGCAGGCATGTGGGCACAGAGGCAGGCATGTGGGCACAGAGGCAGGCATGTGGGCACAGAGGCAGGCATGTGGGCACAGAGGCAGGCAGGGGGACAGAGAGGCAGGCAGGGGGACAGAGAGGCAGGCGGGTTGAAAAAGACCAGTAAGAGAGGTGAAGCGCGTGGAAGCTAGTCATTAAGGTAAGCTTAACTAGGAAAGGGTGACACACTACGTGACGGGTACTTGGGGGAGGCGGTGCTGAGGTAGGGCTTACTTGGGGGAGGCGGTGCTGGGGCAGGGCTTACTTGGGGAAGGCTGTACTCTGGCAGGGCGTGAAGACAAAGAATGGCTGCTGCACCGCGTGCCACAGATGGGTGTGATCCGAGGCTACTGCCACCTGATGGGGGGAGAAGGGGAGGAGGGAGGCGAGGAGTGAAGGAGTGTTTCTAGGACACCACAAATGCAATAATGAGCATGAGAATATGCAAAACGCATAGACCTGCTTACAGTACTGCTCCGCTCTCCTGAATCCTGATACCAGAGGCTTAAGCACAGTTGACTGAGGAGTTGACTCAACACTCACCCTGTTTACAGTACCAGTTAAGTCTCAAGAAAGACTGAGGCTGTTGCTCAAGATACCAGAGGCTCAACAAAGACTCACCTGCCGCAGGATACAGATCTACTATATGATGGACTCAAGAACCGCGCCCACCTGCTGCAGGGCATGCGTGGAGAGAACTATCTCCTCATACCCCCCTCGGTACACCTTGCCTTGCTCCCCAATGATAGCCTTCACCATCTCAAGCGCTCTGCTTGTGGGG